AAGCACAAACATTGCATGCTTATGCCAAACAAGCAATCATAGTTGGTAATCAAATCATAGAGGAATTGGATAAAATGCTAGAATTAAAATAGTCGAGGCAGGACATTACAAATACACTAGACAATTTTTCATTATATCGCATTTATGATGGATTTCTTTACTATAAAACAGGCTATTTCTATTTTCTAATTTATAAATATGAAATTTGATATTAACAAAATTATATAGTACCCCGATTGGTGGTCATGAGGGCATCAAATGAATGCTGACAATGGTCATTGCTTAGTTCTTTCAAAAATGAATGAAAAAAAGGTGTATAGCATTTTGTCAAATCTTTTCCAATATGCAATAGTTAAGGGGTAATATAACCATTGACTATGCCAATCATTGTTTTGAATGAAATTCCAATGAAATTCATCATCGGATTAACAAAAGCAAAAGAAAAAAACTATGATTCTAGTAGTAATTGACATATTATTTAAATATGCACATTTTATAGCCCCGACCAATAAATTTTTTGCAATACATATAGTCACAATATTCATTTTAGAAATTTGTAAGTTATATGGTATCCATGAGCCATTGATTCTTATTATGAATCAACTTTCATGATTTTTTTTGGGGATGTTATTTCAACTTAGTGGAATGACATTAGATCATAATAATTCTTATCAACTATAACCCAAAGGTGAAATACAAGTGGAAAATTATGGACTTGAACAATACCTTTGTAGTTTTTCGTAGGGATAATCCAATGAATATGTTACAATTTTTACGACGAGCAATGCATCTAAATATGCATCAAAGGGCATGAATCCTTTTTGAATAGTCTAAAAAGGACCCCTGCCTACACTTATCCTTACAATTTAGATGTATCAAATATTGAGATTTTTTATGATGACTATAAATTAGAGATAAAATATTGCAAAAACTTCGTTCAACCATAGCCCAAACACGTAATTTCATGAAGCAAATGACAAACAAAAACATGCAACGGATATATAAGTTGCTATTGGAGATTGAGTGTTAGGAACCAAAAATTATATCGATAGACTTCAGGAACCCACAACCTCTTTTTAAAACTTAGTCTAAGGTATGATAATCTTTTTTGGGTTGTTAAAATGGTAGGGGTAGCAACTTACAAATTTGAATTGCTGGATATTGCAATAATTCATGCAATATTTCATGTATCATGCCCTAAATTATTTAGAGATGATTCAAAAATACATCTTGCCCCCTTCTAGAAAAAGTTATTATTGTACAACCATTAATTTAAGCATCAAAATTTATTCAACTGTGAATGATGGTAAATGATAATCAAACACCCTTACAAGTTTTAGTGCAATGGGACAGATTTATGGCCGAAGGTACTTCTTAGGTACTGCAAGAAGATTTTCAGTCAGTTTGTTTGGTGGAATTCGGTCAGACTAAGTTACAGGAGTATTATAAAGAAAAAAGGCATTGAAATAAGAATTAGTTTATTTTTTATTGCATCGATCGAAACTTCAAAAAGTAATGGCACTTCCCTTATTGTATATAAGAAATACATTTGGAGAATAAAAAAAAATTTTCTAAGTAAAAAAACTTGTTTAAGTTGTCCCCCTCCATGTTCGTGGGTGCTCCTTTCCGACATATGTTTTTAGTCGATAGGCCCAAGACAAAACATGTTGGCTGACTATGAAAGGCCCACTCCAAGTCTTGCATAATTTACTGATCGCATATCCACAGGCTACTGAGTCGACCATTTCTTGGACTAGATCACCTGGGACAAAAGTCTTTTCCCAAACATATTTGTTGAAATAATGGGTGGTTCGCCTCTTAATCTCCTCATGTATGAGTGTTAAGCGAGCTTGAGTTTCCTCTGTGAGATCGAGGGCTAGCAATGCCCCTTTGATATTAGCATGCTACCACTCGGTCAACTCATCCCTAGGGAATGAAGAGGCTGTAACGACCCTTTAGATGTGATGATCATATTTGACCGGTAGCATGACCTCCTTTCCGAGTGTTAGCATGAATGAAGTTTGTTTGGTCACCTTAGAAGGTGTTGTTCAGATTGCCCAGAGCACCAATGGTAGTGGGTCTGCCTAGTTTCCCTTAGCTCCTTCAACCTTTTTTTGTAATAGATTCATAATGATATTGTTAGTTGCTTGACCTGCCCATTAGTTATAGGATGATTGACTGAATTGAAATTCCGATCAATCCCATGTTTTATGCAAATGCCTTCCACTCGCTAGTCTACAAACTGAGTCTCATTGTTGGCGATGATGACGAGCAACAACCCATATCTATAGATCAAGTTGGACCATATGAAATTCTGAACAAACTCTAGATTGATTTGAGCGAGTGTTTTCACTTCAATCCATTTTAAAAAATAGTCGATCGCCACCAATAGGAACTTCTTTGACCTTTCGTCGAATGGAAAGCTTTGAGAATCTCTAGTCTCTACGTGGCAAATGACCAAGGATCGATGATCGATTGTAGCTTTCAAGATGGTTCATGATGTAAAGATGCGTATTTTTGATGCTATTTGGTGTTAACCAAAATTATCCAAATTTAGAATGACCCCAAAATATCTCTTACGTCGTATTTTGGTGAAGAACCAAGTAAAAGGAGATGGACCAGTAGTCCCGACCACCATGCCGGAGGGAATCCAAGGACTGGAGGGTCAAAATTTGGGAACCGGTCTCGGTGGGCTTGGTCATGACCATATTGCGATGTAATTATGTCGTAGTCATTGTTCGGCCAGTGTGGCCACACCGCCTTCTAGCGTGGTCACGTTGAACACAACACTTTTGTGTTATTTTGGGTTGATCTTGGCATGGCCACAATCAGCCCAAGCTACACAAAAGTGTTGTTCATTACTATGCCGAGGGAAGTAATCAAAGATTCAAATTATTATTCATTACTATGTCGGGGGAAGTTTTCCTCCTCGGCCCACCGGAATGTGTTGGAGACGGGAAAGACGAACAAACCAATGGAAAGAAAAGTGGAGAAAATGGTGAAGAACAGTTTGTCTTGGCATCACCCTGAGAAAGAAGATGAAACCCTCTGGAAGCACCTTGAAATCCCCCCTTGTTCTGAGCTCTCCTTCTCAGCAAATAACAGACGATCATCTCAAATGAGCCCTTTCTTATGGGTTATTCAACTATAGAGGTTTATCTAAGGAACCAAGATAAAAGGAGATAGACTAGTGGTCTCGACTGCCATGCCGGTGGTAATCCGTGGATTGGAGAGTCAAAATTCGCGAACTGGTCCCGGTGGTGTGGACACTCCACATTTGATCGTGGTCATGCTACTATTCAAATTATTGCAAATAGAGGTATGGCGTGACCACGCTCGAGGCCCAGCATAATTACGCTGGGTGGCGTGGCCACCAACTTGCAAACGTGGTCACGCCAATCGGCGAACTCCGGCGCCTGCTAAGATTTGGGTGTGGTCACACCCATATTGCAATGTAGTTATGTCATAGTCTCTGTTTGGCAGGTGTGGCCACACAGTCTCCGAGCGTGGTCAGGCAAACCACAACACTTTTGTGTTGGTTTTGGGTGATCTTGGCGTGACCACACCAGTTTAGGCGTGGTCTCACGCCAATAACTAGACGTGGTTACGCCGTACCCCAAAAAGATTAGGTTTCCAAAGAAGCTTGCCAAGGGGGTTTCGGGCCTCGTGACACCTCCAGAGGAGCGAATCTGAGTAGGTAATGATCATTAGACCTTTGTAGGGACTGTAAATGCGCCTCAAAAGAGTTTGAGGGGTCAAAGTGTCTACATATTGTCGAGTAAAGCGGTTACAGCATGAAATTTGTCTATCCGGGCCTTAAACTTAAAGTCTGAAGATGGTGTGGATTACTCTAGTTGGCGGTCTGTGCAAAGGGATTGTCCATATCAGCAGGATACGAACCTGTGTCACAGGCACAAACGTCAACCTGGAGGATACCGTAAGTAATGCCGGCTTGGCCATGATCGACTCAGGGCACGACTCTGATGGTGTAGAACCCAATTATAGTGTTGTGTCACTCAACGAGGATGTCCACTGTATGTCACATAAAAAATGGTTGCCGACATTGTTCTCATCTATAAATAGGGGAATAATTTTATGAGAAATGACTAATCAAGAATTCAAATTAATATTCATTGCTGTGCACTTTCCCTTCTCTCTCTCTCCTCTATATTGTGCTATCTTCTTTGGATGTGATTCAGAGACAAAATAGGATTCAAGAGAAATATTGTTCATTTATTTTTTAATAATTTATATATATCTGTCTAATGGACTTAGTCTTTAAATGAAATTCACTTTCAACAATAAACTAATGAGTTCTAAAAATAAGAACCAATTTACCTCTATTTTCTTTTAAAGGAAACCTTGAATGCAACCTCAAAACTTTCATATTGATTGGAAATATATTAAAGAATCTCGAGATGTTAAATTCGAGCATTTACTTGCCCAAAATTAAATAAAATGAATAACTCCATAACTTCTTCCAAATTTAAAGTCTTTATTTGATTGCATCCTAATATTTTTTTTTTCACAAGAGCTCACATCTAGCTTTTTCAATATTTTCTTTTTGGAAGCTTTCCATGCATGCCACTTAATTCCTATGTATTTATGCATTTGACAACTATTTTTCATTTTTTTTTTATATATATGTCACCATAATGTATATTTCACTTTTTAGAAGTTAAAGGAGTGATTTTTTTGATGTGAAGTGAGAGATTGAAGCAATATAAACATAAAAAGTAAAGTTTTGATGTTACCTTTGTAAATACATTAGAATGGGAGGTCGGTATATTAATACCCATTTCATTTTTTTCCTAAGCAATGTACTGGACACAAAATAAATAAAATAGAACTCACATTTCCACATTTTTTCTATGAACAGTAAAGAAATAATACAAAATTTAAAAAAAATCTGACTTTCTATAATAATCTCATACGTAATGCAAATTACATATAAACTCCAAGAGAAATATAGGTAAAAATGAATATAATTCCACACCAGCCAAACACAATAATCAAATTCAGACAGCCATTTCACCAACAAACACACATCATTCAATCTCATTTTCTATTTGAAAAAAAAAAAATCATTTTTGAAATTCAGTTCAAAATAGCTATTTGGAAATAGGCGCCCAAATATCAGCACCGTTGCTTCTAGCAATAAGAACAGTTTCATCAACCGGCATCAGGCACAGCCCTCGGTTTCTCAAGCTACGGCTCTTTTCACCTTCCTGCAAAGAAACATCAAATTTTTCTATAAAAATCCTATTTTTAAAGTTTAGTATAAAGAGAGATACTGAAACCGAAGTTCTAATTGTTTTTGAATTTTTTTACTTGTAATTTGCCGTGTGGAAATGTGCGGAGATACGGAGTACTCAGCACCTGGAGCTGATCTTGAAGAAACTTAATGTAAGCAGCGGCTTCCTGGAGCACAGAAGCCGTGTCGCTCTGTAGTTTAGTTCATGCAGGTTAGCGGCAACATATTTACAGAGAAAAAAATTTATGTTCGGACTCCCAGTAATATACCGTCATGTGTGTTATATCAAGTCCACCTAAAAAACTATTAAAGTGCAACCGCAAAGATTACTGGAGTGGAACCACAGAAATTGGAGTGAAAACACGGAAATTATTGGAGTAGAACTGCGGAAGTTATTTGAAGGATTATTGAGAGGTTGTTGGGGGTTATTAAGGGCATATTGAGATATTAACTCCAATAACGTCGTAATAACCTCTCAACAACCCCTCAATAAACTCCGCAGTTCCACTCTAATAACCCCTGCAATAAGCTCCAATAACCTCCGCAATTCCACTTCAATAACTCTCTGCAATAACCCCCGCAATAACCACCCCAATAACATCCGCGGTTCTACTTCAATAATGACATTTCATTAATCCTCACAATAACTCCCTAATAACTTTTATAGTTTCACTTCAATAACCCCGCGATGTAGCACGTATGACGACATATTACTGAAGTCCCCACGTAGAGTTACATCCGGAGCCCGAACGGAAAATTTTTGCATTTTACGAAATACATAACATCCATAAAAGGAAAAAAGAAGACCAACCTTTCCAAATGGGGAAACTAGATGCTGGAGTGCAGATACTCTTTCTCCTATCTTATCCTTCTTCTCCTGCTCATGAACAATCATATACATGCCACTTGCGCCAAACAACACGCAGTAGAAAAAAAGAGAAAGAAAGAAAGTTAAAGATTACTTTAGCTGAGATTGAGGCTTCCTCTCTTGCAGGTCCGGTTCTGAGCCTTTTAGAAAGGGGAAGGAAGGATTCATGGTGGATTCTTGGATTCTGATTAGCCATGTCCGTTACCATCATCATTTTCTTCTTTTCTTCTCTTGCACTTTGTGGTGGAGCTCCAGAACCTAAGAAAAACCTGAAAGATGAAGGTGCCATATGTCCGGGATGGTAATTAAAATATCAAAAGAGAAGTAGAGGGAGAGAAGATTGGTTGAAACGGACAAAGGATGTTCAGCTTTGGGAAATCAGACGTAGCCTGGAGTCTAGTCTCCCTGGATTATCAAAATCCCTGCGGTCTTCCCTCAATTTTGATTTTCTATTTGGACTATTTTTTTTAATTCTTTTATATAATAAAAAAATATATCTTCTTCTTCTTTTATTTGTTTGAAAAAAAAAAAATTACTAAATTTTAACTATTAATTTAGTTTAAAGTAAATAATAAAAATAAATAAATAAAGTAATATTAAAGCAGCCTATTATTATTATTATTATTATTTTGTTATTTTCCGTCAAACTTAAAGTTTATATTGGAGATGTTTTAAGCCCTGCTTAATTTATATGCTATTTATTGGAGAGGAGTTCGATGCTTGTCTCCAAATAAAAGACTTGAATATTCTTTAAGTTAATATTTTAAAACATGTTTATTTAATAAATTTAAATTTAAAGAAAAAATTAATTCCAATTATCTATACTTTCTATCTATATTTTCTTAGCCTCACCAGTTTATGCAAAAAAAGAGCTACATCAGTATTTATATTTTCAATGTTTTCATTGAAATTTTCTAATTTTCAATACTTTTGAATTTTGTATAAAATATCTTATTTTATTTTCTTAGTATGTGGCTGGTTTCATTGATTTACAATTTTTATATTTTAACATTGATGCATCATTATGAAATTTTAATCATCTCAATGTTATGTTAGCAAGAAACATTTCAATTTCAGAATCATTTGGGCCCAGATTCTAACAAGTTTATAGTCAAATGACGAGATGAAGCTAATGACGTTGAAAGCAATCTAATTGGAGTTCAAATGAACCCATATCAAGCATTTGAAGTATAGTCAAAATCTAGTGTATTAATTTGAATGTCAAACAAAATCAAAATTTGACATACCTATATTCAAACATTACAAAAATTTAGTTGGTTACGGAGGGCCAAATTTCGTCAGGAATAACAAATAAGCCGTAAGTATTATATTTACTGACGGTTTAACTATGACAAAGTTGATGTAGCAAAATCGCTTGTCGGTGATTCAATTACCGCCGGATTTAGCGGCAGTTTACATTAAACAACAAGCCGACTCACCATAACAGTCAATATAGATCCAAAAACATGTCATTTTTAGCTGTAGCATGACTGTCGATTGTATAATCGACGAAATTGTTCGTAGGAAAAGTGTTGTAGTTTCATCGGAAAAGTGTCGCGGTTCTGTCATTAAATTATCGTCAAACCGTTGATTAACCGTGGGAATTTACTGACGGCTCTGTTTGTAGCAAACGTGCAACAATTTGCCCAAATGTGGCTTGTTCAATAGACCGTCGGAAAATCGTTGCTTCTTTGATAAATCGTTGTAAAACTGTTGATAAGCTGTCGAAAACTTGTACCATCAGAAAAAAATAAAAAACCTTCTTTCAACGCTACAATCTATCACCTGTACTCATAAAATATCAATCAAAATATAACACAACACAGTAACAAAACTAATTAACGTATAAATCATATGCATAATTAAAAGAAAAAAATTGAATTAAAACAAACGAAATGTACGACAAAATAATTTGTTCAATATATATCCAAACAAAAAAAATAACCCCATACTCATCATCCTCATCATCTTGTGTCCTCTCCTCCTCCTCATCATCTCCACCCTCATTCTGCACTAGCTCCTTCCCTTTTATGCAGTTTTGACTGCAACACTGCTTTGATCTTTGCCCTCATCTCTGAGCTCAGGGAAGCTACCTAGGCAACAACTTCAGCAGTAACTTGGCAATGCGCCTCCTCTTCCTGTGAAGTGGAAGTGGATGCACTGGATGTGTTAGAGGCCGGGCAGGTATCATAGGTCAGCGCCTGTGTCCCTAACTTGAAGACTCTGCCCTTCTTTTTCCCACCGACAACATCTCTCTAGAGGTCGTACTCAGAAGGATCATGAGATATGCACGAATCATAGGCCGACTGCTGAGATCGGCTGTCCTTGAGTCTCAAGAAGGCCTCCTACAAAAAAATATGATTAAAGAAGGTAAGAAACTAAAAGAAAATTGATATTTATTTGAATTTTATACTTGTTAATTTTTTTAATTATTTGGGTCGCCTATGATCAGTTGTTCATTGCGGGCTGATCCAAGTGTCGCATGTGTGTGCACTCGTGTAACTCTGCAAAAGTTAGCTCTCCGCCTTTTTCTAATGTCTATTTTTGTAATGGAATAGTTAGCATAAATTTAATATGAAATAAGATTTAACGCAAAAAATAAAATAAGTCTTACTAGCCTCCTCTTGTACTTCGTATTTGGGAGGGCTCCACCATTGTGCTTTGAGGCCCCCATGGCCCTGCAGTCTGAGCAGCGATTGAACTTTGCCTGCTCCCTCTTTGTCAGATACTTGAGAGAGTCTCAGGCCTGGAGTAGTGCAACAAACACTTCCCACCTAGCCACAAGGGCCACTCAAGTTCCTAACGTATATCACTAAACTAGTCTCATAGAAGATCGCTCCCACTGTGCTCGAAGTTCCTGCGGATGTGTTCCTCCTCCTTAGGGGGTCAGGACCATTGGTTCTGTAAATTAAATTAGAAATTGTTAAATTCACAAAAATAAATACATAAATGTAATAATTGTGTTTGGGGGTTTCCTTAAACTCACCAAACCACATCTCTCAAATTGTGATCGGGATCTCCTTCTAGGATAAGTACAGATAGTCATACTTGCTTCAAATTATATCTCGGATAGAGTGGATGGTCTTTGTAGGGGGATTAAATCTGAAAATAACATGTAATTTGTTATATATTATATAAAAAACACAAGGCAGTAATGTCGACATTAAACTAAAACTTATGTGTTCCTCACTACTCTGAGCAGATGGTGGTAGCTTGTGGTGCTTAAACTCGACAACACATCAAAAGCAACCAATGTTGACCGTGTTGGTAGTGTTGTGGTCACAGGTGGTGGATGTTGTGGTGTTGTGGCCATGAGTGGTGGCAGTAGTGGTGTTGCTGCTGGTGGCAGTGGTGGTGTCATGGCTAGTGGAGGTGGTGGTAGTGGCGTCGGCTTCGTGACTGGCCGAGGAATTGTTGTGGCAGCTAGGACTAGAGGCGGTGCCAATGTGGTGCCCTCTTTACCACCTTGTCCATAGCCTCATCGGCTTATGGACTTTCGCAAGCCAGCACATGTGTTCCCAATCAAAATCTAGCAAGCCCTGATCTAATACTACATTATTTTGATCATGAATAAAGTAATTCATAAATAACTCATTTGTCGTTAAAGATAATTAATAACAATTATCTTAGATGTTCAATAGTTTTGATAAACACTTATACGTGTTGTGAACCATCCAGAAAAATTAATTTTAATCTCTTGGGTTGTGATATCATCTTCAACTGAGTACACCGATTCTAAGAATAAACTATTACCATGATGGGAAAATTTTGGATTAGCCATTATAATATTTTCATCCAGAAGATTGAACTATTAATAGAATTTACTGTCTTATTCAATAAATGGTTGAATTTTGTTGCAATTTAGCAGAACATAAAGCGTCACTGCTTGATGTTAATTTTCACTGAGACATGATATCCACCTCCTTGATGCTTCACAAAATTGCTGAAAACACAAGGTGTCATGGGAGGCATCACACCCGATGACGTAGACTCTTCTTGAACAAATTAATTGGAGCAGAAAGTATAGTCTCCTGTGATAAATATTCACACATATGGATCCTACTGGTCATGCTTTATTCTTAATAGCCTCTTTAAGTTTATTTAAAAATCTGTAATATAATTATTTTGCATATTGATCTACGTTGTGCCAAAGTTAGAGAATATTTTGGTTTGGGCTTCAAAAGCTTGTCAGTAATAGTTTCAGGAATCTTCAACTTTCGTCTTCTACAATTCTTCTTCAAATCTAGTATGTCATTCACATTATCTTTAGATTTTCCTTAAACATCCATCACGATGTGGAATATCTTGTTTAAAAAAATTTTCTCTGTGTAAATCTCATCGAGATTATGCTTGACCATGTTATCCTTATAATAGGGTAGATCCCAAAAAAATGATTTTTTTTTTAACCAGATATGAATAACAACACAACCTGATAGATTATGCGAAGATAGGTCGGGATAAACAGTAATCTTCAGAATGTCACTAACGATCTGAAATAAATCTTTCCCGGATACTGTTGGAGGTGACGTTGATTTCTTAATTTTGAATGATCTTTTGTTCCTATTGAAGGAATGCCCATAATATAAAAACAAACGATGATAATCAAATAATAAATTTTTCTTGCCAGGTTGAAGTGTGAATGTCGTCGATGAATTCATGCAATATGGACAAGCTAAATTTCTCACTGTGCTCCACCTAGATAACATTGTATACATGGAAAATCACTTATTTTCACATCAATGCTGCTTTCATCAAAAAATTATATTTTATTGTAACATCGTAAGTCATGACACCTCTTTCCTAAAGAATCTACAACTCATCTATCAATGGTCGCAAGTATACATCAACCCGACCTTTAGGGTTACTGGGACTTGGAATAATCAAGGTCAACAATAAGAATGGCATCATCATGCACATCTAAAGGGGAGAGATTATATGGCATAATGATCACTAACCACCAATACTAGATTTTCATGGTCTGGCTGTATGGAGAGAAGCCATCTTAGCATAAGCTAAGTCTCACGTTATGTGCTTCCGTAGCAAACCGGGGATGTAAATGATCAAAACTCTTTCATGTCTCTCTATCTGAAAGATGCTTCATTAAATTGATATCCCCTGATCTACTATGATGCCTCATCATATGTGGATTAGTATGTGATGAAGCAAATAGACTTTGAAGATGTGGAATAAGAGGTAAATAGAAGAGACACTTGTAAGGAACTTGTTTCTGACTCTTATTTTTTATTCTGAGGTTCAATTCTTTGAGAAGTACAATATCTACACTCAGACTTTGCTGCACTTGACTAATAAAATAATGTGCAATCGTTCATGCAGTAATTAATCTTCTCTATTTTCAACCCCAGCTGGGAGAACAATTTTTTCATCTAGTATAGTATTTTGGAAATTAATTCTCTTGTGGATTAT